TATGGAATATTTACAATAACTGTTTAGTAGTTCGAACACAAATATAATATATTATACGAATTTTAACTACAACATAATGATTACTCTCAGGAATCTCATGATTTATTTATTTTTTTATTACTACAATTTAGTATCGATATCAATAATAATAATAATAATAAAACAGTTATTACCTATTTATTTAAAAAACACATAATATTAATTGCTTAATCAATATTGGAAATTAAATTTCAAAATAATTGTTATCACTTCAGAATTTCAGAAAAAATAGAATATGTAAGTTGTATGTATATTTTATTAATACAGAGGCATTAAAATAATTTTTTGTTAGTTGCAAATAAATTGTTCTTAAAAGATCAAACATTTAAAAATGTTATTTCAGATTATATCATGCACATCTATTGGATTATTTATATCTGTATAATACATAATATGTTAAATTGCAAAGCTCTATCTATATAATTAATAATCGGCTTATATAATAAATCTTGACGAATTGTCTCTATAATAAGTCTGTATGAGTAATATATTATGTTTTATTTATTCTTTTATCTCAAAGATATTAAATTATTTGTACATAACTTTTTAGTGTTTGAGAGAAGATATTCTTTCTAAAGAAGCAATAGTATTATAAATTATGTTTATAATCACATATTTTGATAAATAAAATTGAAACTAAAATTGTTATATATTATTTAAGCTATTAACGAAATATGGTTCTAAAGTTATTAAACTCATAATAATCATTGTTTGTAGTTCTTCATAAATTGTACATAGTATTAATTATCATGTAATATTTTAAGCTCATTTTTAGATTTCTAAATTGTTTTTTATTTTAAACTATATAAAAAAAAAAACACATTTTAAAATCATAATCAAATGTTTTTGCTAAAAAACCAACTGTATATTTTTTTTTATCTCAATCTTATTCTCGATTTTAAATAATATTTGTCAAATACGAATATTATATTTTATTTTTTTATTATTTCTCCGAGTTGTGTTTATTCGTTCATGTATGTTCTCAAATAAATTCTAAAAATATTAAATTCATAACTACAACGTGTTTTTATGAATTTTATTTTATTTTCTTATTAATATTTTTTTTTTATTTTTTTTTTTTTAACGCTTAAGTCATGTAATGTTTAAAATTTATTTTTGGCTGATTAATGAAATAAATTATAGAACGGTAAAAAATTAAATAAAAATATATAAATTATTTATAGTTACTAATTGTAGTTTTTAGTAAAAATACAGTGGTAAAATTATCGTGAAAATTAGTTTTATTTGGATTCTAAAGATTTACCAATTATTTTAATAATTTCAGCATATTTCAGTTAATACTAAACACAATAAATAAAATGTGATATTATAATTATTGAAAAAAGTGCATTATATTATAATTTATTTAATTTTAATTGAATTTTTATCTTTAGGATTTAAATGCTGAATACAAAATCAATCTTAAAGTAATAAATAATGTATAGAATATAGATCTGGACTTTGTTTTTGTATACGTATAAATTACAAATTTCTGTATTAAAATATTAATTCATAATAATTGTTACCATCATTATTTATTAATGATTTATTTTAAAGGAATATTGTTAAAACAATAAATTAAAATATCGAATAAACCAGAGGAATGTAAAACAATATTTCTTCAAACATCGAACGGCCATTTTTATAAGTATTATAGTATTGAATTACAAGTGGGAGTGTGCCAACTGCAGTTTTCAACTATTAATGGGTGGGGGAGGCACCTTAAATTCCGCCCCATCGAAGTGGTTCTGTCTCTGATAACATTGTTCCGCACTAAAGTGTGGAAATAAGTTATGAACCACCGAATGACAGGCAAGGTAATTAGGAAATGTTTTAAAGCTCATGAGTTATTAAGATACGGAAAGTGACGACACATTATTCAAGTACTATATATTTAAAGGCATGCTTACTATTGAATTCTCAAATATATTCATATTTTGTTTTATCTCCTTTAATATTCAAAGTTACATCAAGCTTAATTTAATACCACAGAATGATTGATAGCAAAATGTCAAAGCATTTTATTATTTATTTATTTTTTACGTTACCCTAGTACCAGTGAGTTCAAAATGTCTATTCACTTGTGTATAATATAAAATTGGATTTCTTGAAATCAAATCGTTGAATATTTTTGTCATTAAAATTATATTAATATTGACTTATACAATTTAAAAAAAGTATAGTATTTTTGTTTAATAAATTGTATTGGATTCTATTAATACATAATTTTTATAAATAGCTCACGTAAATTTAAGTTTTGGAATAATATCTTCAGTAATTTTAAAGGAATACATTTGAATCAAATATTTATTACTATTTTTTAAATGTAAATTTAACTAAATTGTCTTCTTTAAGTATTTTTCAAATGTTTGTCTAGAATAAGATTTAATTTTTAATTATTTAAATTGCTATACAAAATAATAATAATATACTTCATTAGTAGTTGCAAAATAAAGTGTAGATACTTTGTATTAATATAAATTATAATTTATTTTATTAGACATTTTTGTGATAAAAATTTCATTTAAGTTAAAAACTTTACTAAAACAATTGAGAAGATTTGAAAAAATAAAGAAGATACTGTATTCTATAGTGTTTTAAACTCTTAACATTTGGTATTTATTTTTCAGAAAAAGAATTTTAACTTACTATTTAAGTTGTAATTACTATCTATATATTAATTAATTACCACTTAGTTGATAATAGAGTAATAATAAAAAATAATAAAAATCATAAAAATGTGTAATATAAGTTGCTTCCATAGAGTTTTTTTGTTGCAGACGTTCTTCTTTAACATAAAACAAACATGTTAAGACATAATTGAAGATAACTCGATTAATAAGCTGTCATTTAATGATGAATGCAACACATATTAACTTATAATTAACAATGTTGCTTAGTGTAAGAACTGTAAATAAATTATGTTTACGCTACAACTAGGAAACTGATTTACTTGAAATAAAAATACAAAATTATGCACATAGCCATGGTCGTTTAATTAATAAAATATTTATCAAAAATATCAAAATAGAAATATCTAGGAAATGTGTTTTTAATTTTAGTGTTATCGTCATTAAAATATTTATGGAAAATTTCATATACATATATATATGTATATAATAATAATAAAAATAAGAATATAAAGTAAAAATATATATATTATGAACAGAAAATATTAATTTTTGTTTGATTCTTAAGTAAAAATTAATTTTAAGTTCATATTTATAATTTACAAGTTTAATGTTTAAGTGTTAAATGTTGCTTTTTAGGTCTTAAAATATTTTTAAAACGATAAAATGAGTCATAAATGTGATTGACAAACCAACTAATATAATTGGTTGATAGTAATTTGTTTCACAAATTATCGAAGGCTATAATTCCAAAATCTATTAATAAATAATGCAATAATGTTTTAGTCAATAACAGCATGAATTTTTTAACTATATACATCTTTGGTATGAAATTTAATTTTGCATAATTTAAGTTTTTTCAATTGAATAGAAGTTTTCACATGTAATTTATTTTAAAATGATTAATTGTATTTTTTTTAAATGCTCTTAATGTTAAAATTTTATATGTATAAGCAATTTAATGTAGAAAACGTTTTCAAAATATTTATAAATTGATAAAACATGTAAATTAAATTTTTTATAGTTTTATTATAAATAATTTAATACTTAAATATTTTTTTAGCAAACTTTAGGTAACTTATATATAATGATATAAATATGCATTTCAGTAACATAAACCTGCTCTTTAAGAAAATATCTTTGGAAAACAATATATTATAATATGTATTCAGAGAACAGTTGTGGACAGTAGAAGAACATAAAATATTAAGTAGATACATAGATTATAATGACATAGGTTATAAATTTAAGACATGAAATCTTTGAACTTTCAACTATATATATATATATATATATGTATATCATTGTATCAAATAAATCTACTTCAATGATAATACAGAAATAAGAGTTACCATTATTATTACATGTCTATTATGATGTTAGTATATTAAAATTATATTATTTTCATGTTATTTTATCAAAGGTTTTTAATATTTAAATAAAGTATGATTTCAAATATTTTTCAGTGATCATTTTTAAAAATAATTAACACTAATTAGTGAAAATAAAGTGTTTGTTTTTCGTTGTTCAAAATCAATACTATATAATTATACACTATGAGTAAAAAAAAAAAAATAATATATTTTTAAAATTATTTCAATTAATTATAGTAGTTATGATGCTGTAAATAGTAAAGGTAATTGGTTTATAGGTACCTTTTTATTATTTTTGGAAATATTAATGTATTGCATTATACTAACATCTTTAGATTAATTTTTGTTTTCAACATCCAAGAAGACATCTAAAGATTTTTTTTTCATTTATTTTTATAAATCAGTGATCATCAAAAAAATGTCAATGATAATATTGTTCAATTCTCAGTTAAGTATTATTATTATATGAATATAATTTATAAAGAAACGGGTCTATTAGTGTAAAAATGTTGTAGTATTGATAAGTTCAAGTGTGCTTTTCTACGTTAAATGTGTTGATTAATTATTTTTGTACATATTATAATGACAATGCAGTCTTAATAAATGCTCTATTAAGTTATTTATATACTATATTTAATGTAATGCAACGTTATATAAAGGTTTATTGTTTGTACAAAAAATCTTAATATATTTAACAGCTCGTTTAGTACCAAATAACCCAAAACGTATGTGATTGGTCGATTAAACTTGAATCAAATCAAAATTTTAAAACTTGTGTATCTAACATTTAAAACACACCTGTTAATTTTCTATGTTACTAGAAAAAACAACTTAAAAATGATAAATTATCTCTGAGATTTAAAAGTGTTTTTTAATTTTTTCTATATAATGTTTATTTATATTTGTTATACCTATACTAATATATTATTATATTTTGTTTATGTGTTGTGCTGCTTAGTTTCGGAAAAAGAAATCAGACAATGGTGAGTACATTTTGTATCATTTATTTTGGTACATTATTTATATTATATTTTATTTTTATTACCTATATTGGCTGAATTATAAATCTTTTTATAATAGAAAATAAATATTAAAATATCATGAATATCGAAAGAAATGAATAAATGTATACAAAAAAATTTAAATTATAAGTAAAATACATTTTCTTTGAAATTAATTTTACCCAAGATATTACCTACTAAAGGCTTTGTGGAAAACCAAATATGCTATTAATTCATCATGAAAAAATACTACGAGAGATTTAGCATAGAGAATTAGATCTTTTTGCAAGTAGATTCTCAATAACCGGTAATTTTGATGCTATTTATTTTATACTTACCACAGCTGTCTATGTTTTTTTATATATCAAAATGCATTCATTTATTTGGACGGTAAAAATAATGCCAGACATAGAGTACTAAAGTATAGTGACGTATTTAGGTTAGGGTGATTTGTATTTAAATTTTCTAATTTTCATTAACACAAACAAATTACTACACACTGATATATTTACACATTTTTTTTTTATATATAGGTTTTCTTTAAATTAAAAATGTGTAAAAAAATCTACATTGCTATTTTTTTTTTGCGTGTGTAAAAATAAAATCAAGTGTAAGACATATTACATCACATATGTTATAGTTAATATAATAATTAAAAGATTTCTTTGAATTCTGATGCTCGACAATTACTAACGAACCCGGAAATTTTACCGTAGTTGATTTGTCGTTACCGTTTTTTCATCGCCTGACAATTTTTCGCAATTGTTTTGTTGTTGCACTATTTACCGCGAAGGATTAACCTCCCTATGAAATATCAATAACGCCATTAATGTACCTATCATTAACATTACAGGGTGATACCCATAACACAAAAATTATTGGTAATATTGATTTAATTTTTTTTTTTTTTTGGGTACAAGGGTATATTTAAAGTTTTATTTTATTAGGTTTTAAAAACGAAATTTTGAAGATGGCCATCGTCTTCGTAAATGTGCTGAGCTAGCTGAAATTTAAAATTACTGTCTACTTTTTTTAGCAATTCTGTGTCTATCTCGGCATTAGCAGCACGAATATTGCTCTTCAGATAACGAAGGATCTTTGGACAATCCGTGTAAAATATAGATTTAAGGCAGCCACACAGAAAAAAATCACATGGGATTAAATCTAGCGAACGCGTTGGCCTCTGAGTATCGCTTCTAAGATAAATGCGCTGGTTTTCGAGAAACATTTCATATGCATTTTTCCATACAATTTAATCGTGTAGATTTAGTTGTTGCATCACCGACAATTTATATGGATGAAAATTGAGTACTTCATGAAGAATTCGTCTCAATGTGGAGTTGGAAATCCTTAAAGCAGCTGAATGTTTGTGTACAGGTCGCTTAGGGGATTTAAAAAGCGCCATCCTTACCCTTTCGATGTTTCCAGGTACTTTGGCGGTTGTGAACGGTTAATTATGTTTTTTATTCATACTAACAGTATCCTTGAACGTGCCCACCTACAAACATATCGATTTTTGTTCAGACACATGATCTGCACGCATAATATTAAATTTTTATCTGAATGCACGCTGAATTGCGATGACTGAACAGCCGAAGGAAAAGTAGGCTTTTACGGAAAACGTGCGCTCTTTGTTCGTCCACTGTATGATTGATACTAAACTAACCTCTAAAAAATTTAGATCACGAGTTTTGGAACACTTCATAGGAACGCGCTCTAAGAGTAACAGTGGAGCGAGTTTCAATTAAGGAAATGACCGCGAATCATCCTATACAACAATACCAAGACTATGAAATTTTTTTAAGCCTCACAATTTTGATTTGTTTCTCAATTCAATTCAGGTACATTTTATGACCCTCATACTGGAATTTACAGCTTTAATTTCCGTTTGTGCATAAATGTGTAGTTTAAAAATGTTCGCACAAGATATGCAACCATGCACTTGCATACTCTAGGGGCAGATGGTTTTTTTTAGAGGACATAATATGAATAAGTCCTACAAAATAACACTTCTGGGAAATAAAAAATAATAAAATATTTTGTAGGTAGATCTATTAAACGTATACAATTTATACGTTTACAGCTTAATGTCATGTGACAAGAATTATGAAATAATTATGTATTTTTCATGTATATAATATATTTACATAAAGCTTTTATAAAAATATGTTTTTAATTTTTAATACAGAAAAAAAAATTGAAATACCTGTTATTCTTTTGAAAGTAAAAAGCAATGATAATAGAAATGTTTATCATACATATTTTAACCAATACTTTAAGCAAGGGAAATAATTGGACTGCCAAAAATCCAAAAATAATGTTTTAATGTTGTTTTCCGTTTATAAAAGATATTTGATCTATTTTCATGATATACTTCAAGATGACGATGGCGTTCATTGTTTATTATCAATTATTAACTAATATTTCAATTTTTTCTGTCCCTCCAAAAATTGTTTTTCAAATTATCTGGACCACCATAGAATTTATTTACCGACCCTTACCATTGATTTTAAAATTAATGCCCCTACTATAAACATTAATTTAAGGACATTCATTAGAATTTTAGTGTGCATATTTTATCAGCCACATACGCTGCGATCAAAGCCTACATACGTCTATAGCCTATAGTATAGTTATATTTCTGGATTATCTTTATCTCTTAAACTAATTTTTAGAACGGTAGCCCATTTACTGTTGGTAATTTATAATTTAATTTATAAATACACCTATATTAATGATAAAAGTATTATAGTCTAATCGTTTAATGTAATTATTAGTTTGTAATATTTAATCTGATTGCTTTGTTAAGTATGGTACATATTATTTGATAGCCTCATCTATATTCCTCACATTTAAACATTTGTGGGTCCAAATCAAAAATAAACTTTTTTCATATTTGTTATACATCTAGTTATTACATGTAAGAAAAGGTACTATTAGCTAATTCAATCACTACAGCTAAAAAAATATTGTTTCAAATAAAAATTTTACAATTTATTAGAAAATTTTTGAGTTGACTATAAATTAGATACTACGAAGCCAAAATAGAAAATTCAGCTATAAAATATAAAAAAGAATTGGTCAGAAACTCAGAAATGATACCTAATTACTTCGTTCTAAATCATCATTGTCAAACCATTGACTATTACATAAATAATTATTAATTGAACTGATTAATATATTAAATAGGATTATTTAGAAGTTAAAAATAATTTTAGTACAGTCGTTACGGGTTTTTTTTTTGTAGCATGCTAAATAATAATAAAAAAAATAATGATTATAAAATATTATGTTGTTTTATACTCTTATCTTCAATTTTTACTCTTACTATTGATATTGAACATAGTTGATATTTTCGCTAAGCTAACTTTACACTTCTATAGTATTTTGATACATTGTGTGTATTGTAGTGATTCTAAGTATAATGTTAATTGATACAAATAAAGTAGTATACAACTGTGGTTTTGCTAAAATTAGCACGATACTCTCGACCACAGTTTCAAACTAAATTTAATGTAATTTAGATGAAGTCTTATAAATTTTAGTGGAAAACGTATACCTAACCTATTAGTAAATTTCATGATAATTTATTAATAGTGTTAATTAAAAATATAACTTAATCTAATATAAAAACACCTTTGTTTCAATTGAAAGTGGATAAAATATAATAATATTATATAATGTTATACATTTCTGAATCTATGGCTTATGTATATTGTACAATTAATTGAATCAACACTGCTACAAAAATTGATCGCCACAACTACGAGTAATTCCACCTCAAACAATTAAACAACTACTTATTTTGTATATTTTGCTGAGCAGTATTGTTATAATATTAGTACTACATAGCCGGAACGCCTGTAGTATCTTTTGAAGTTGATATTATATAAGTGTTATAATCAGTCAACTTTTATTTAAGTTGGTTGTCAAAAAATTATTTATATTTTAGCCGTCTCCGAGTTATTTAATTTTGTGGAAAACTATAATTTATCCTATTGAATTTTTTTTTACGATTTCTGAGTGTCACTGCTAGGCAGCTACTCTCCTCAAAATTTCAGGACATTTATATTATTTATTTTTATTCACGCTTATATTATGTTTGTTGTAACTTTTAATTATAGATTGTAAATTGTCTAATAATTAAAAAAAAAAAAAAAATGTTTATTTTACAACTAGTATATTTATATGATTTTAATATTTTGTTGACTCGATACTAATTATATTAAGTGAATATTATCCATGTAGTTTTAAGTTTAAATGAGTAAAATAAACACATACCAGTAGAGTACCACAATATTCATACAGAGATCATTTATATTACAATAATTAATTTTATGGTTTTTTTTTTTTAACAAATATATATAATTGTAAGGTTACAATCACCTGTTGACGGAGTTTATTATTAATATAACCTTATATATTTGGAATTTTCAAACTGTTTTTTTTTCAATTTTTCCGGTAATTTAATATTTAATGCTTGGCAGCTATTATTTTGTCTATCAAAAAATCACAATAAACTATCGTTTATCATAAATATGAATCTTATTAACTATAAATATTTTAGCTCTAGCGAAATTAAATATATTTGTTTTAAGTTTATCACCTAGTTGTATAATTTTAATATAGGAAAATCAGTTAACTATAAAAGTCAGGAAAAAACTGTATTTATACTATGTTTGTAGCCCTTTTTAATTTTACGTAATACAATAATATTTTTATTTTTGTTTAAAGATATGTATATGTGTCACTATGATTTAATTATTCTTTACAAAACTTAAGGAACGTGTCTAGAATAGTATGTACACGAAACACCACTACCCTTAGAACAATGCGTTTTCGAGATCACATTTAAGTGGATATTTCCAATCCAGAGTTCTTGAAGTTTTCCTGAATCTCTTGGGAACTGAGAATACATTGGCTTATTTCGTTAATTTAATATTTTAAGGTTAACTACTTAATAAGTTTTTAATCTAACTGCATTATTGAGAAACTTGCTTAATATTTTCTGTATTTAGCTCATCATTCATAAATTTTGTAGTGTTTAGTTTTAGGTTTTAGAAAATATTGTGCAATTTTGCTGTAGGTATACAAACGCGTATAATATTATATTTATGGCCTACTTACAAATTTGTACATTCAATTATAATTTTAAATAAATTAAAACAGTTGTATGAAAAATAGCTATTTAATCACTATTTTAGCTAATCCTTAAATTGGTAAAAATCATACGAATAAAAATAAAAATGTATAAATTATTCTTCTTTAAATTATTCGATTAATAGTATATCCATGAAATATTTATTTGTTATGCATGATTATTTTTTTAAATCATATAGAGCGTTCATTTGTTATTTATGATTCAGATTTTTAATAATGATACTTTTATTTTTATTTAGGATTCAATTTTAATCATAATAGTTTTATTTATCAGATCTGGTTTAATTTTTAAACATGATTAAATGTATTATTTATTTATTTATTTTTTTGATAAAATTGTTAAAAAGTTGGTTTTTATTAAATACAATTAATTTGTTACGTACATAAAAAATATTTAGATACTTACATTAACAAATTAATTGGATTTTTAGTTAAATTTTTATGTTTTTAAAATTTGGTAGAACATGATTGACGAACTCATCAAGTCATAAACACGTAATTATGTAAATTATGCCGATTAGTTGACAATCTTGAATAGGATAGGAGTTCTCTATATTTTTTATTATTGAACCCCTATTTTTTACTCAGGTTTTCATTAAAATTCGTAAGAATTTCACATCTTTTTTTTTTTTAATTATAAGTAATTAGGGTTCGATTTACTAATTTTTTGGTATAAAATATTAAAATAATAATAATAATAATAATAATATTAAACAATTATTTAATATTTATGAACAAATTATTATTGTTTATGATAAATAAAATGTATACATAAAATTAAAATTATTTGTGAATTTAATAATTATTTTTTTAATCATAGATAATTTTGATTGAAAAACCTAGTTCTGGTAATATTTACGAGTTATGATATATAGTTAATAGTTTAGTTGTTTCCAATTTAAAGTTTGACTAGTCAACTATTACTTTTATTGTTTTATTTAGTTTAAAATACATACTGTGAACATAAATTTCCCTAGTAACATATTATTTAAATATAGTTAACAAGGGCAAGTAAGTCAGATCATTATGTTTTATTCCAATCCCAACTGTATCTTTATTAAGTTTTAATAATGTACCCTTTACAAATAAAGCATTAGTTAAACACATTAATTCAAATAGCGATGTGCATTACTAAAAACCCTGTTTGATTAATATACTTGTTGAACCTTATTATGGTTCATTGGCTATTAAATTTACTCTTTACTGTATTAGAATATTTTTAAGTATATTATATTTTATTTTAATATAAAATAATTTTATTCGTTATTATATACTCGTATTAGAATTTAATCAATACACAATATGTTTCATAACTTAATAGAAAATGGTTTAACAAAATGAGAATATAGTTTAAAAAATGGTTATTTTATTTTGCTAAGGTTAGTAAAATTTACAATAATAATAATAATAATAATAATAATAAAATATCCCAGGATGATCGCATAGGCTTATAATCAGAACCTTTCCACTGCAGATTATTCAGAGGTACAACATAAATTGACATTGTGTGTTTCAAAATACTTGCATATGCGTTTATGACCTTTATTGAATTTTTAGAAAAACATAGTACCTTATAAAAGCGTACTTTATAAAATATAAATGCGTATTTACAATCTTTAGGTAGGTATATCTTTATTCTCAAGTTAAAAAGTTTTTTTTCTTATAAATATATCAAAACACTAAATATTTAAATTGTTAATGCATTTTTTATTGAGAGTATATATATACGGCAGGTCATGTTTTTTAAATATTTTAATCGTATAATTCGTAAAACTATATGTATTGCGTAGTATATTGAACTAATGAAGTGACAAGTATTACCTGTAATTGACGTGGAATCGTTATTAATAATTGTTTATAAATTAAAACAACTAATTTTTACAGAGGAAAATAAAAAAAAATTGTTGCTTTTCAATAGATATTTTCTAAAATTCTAGAATAGGGTGATATTTGATAAATTCAATTTAAAACATCAAACTCAAAACAGGAGGTGAAAGCAAATAGCAAAATATTGTAATAATGATGAAAAAAAGTTTATCAATTATTACTGTTTTATAATATTGTAGGCATTTAGTAATTTTAAATGCGAGATATATCATTATGAACACGTAGAGTTGATATTTTGTTGTATGGAATTAATATAAATGATTTATTTAAGTATTATAGCTTTTACGTTATATTGTATACCATTTCACTACAGATAGAAAATAAATATTAATACACATGCCTACTAGTTTAAAATAAAATAGCCACAGCTATCAAAGATAATCTATATTATATATTATATATACATAATATAATAAGAAAAATCGTTTTAATTTATGTGTATTTAATATTTTTTTTATCTTAATTTACGTATTTACGCAATAAGAATTTATCAATAGGTATTTTTATATCATGTGTACAATAGTTTTTCGGGCAATAATTCAAATGTCAATTTATATTTAGAAATCAATGACGAGGAGGTCACAAAAATGTATACAATATTATGGTATGTCACGCGAAATAAATATTAGGAGTACTATTTATAAAACTGATAAAAAAAATAAAAAAAATACACTGGTAAGTATGAAAATTTAATTTTTAAATTGTTCAATATTTATAATATTTGTATCCTCATCTCTCTTTTTTTGTGAGCTACTTTAATAACCAATAAGCAATAACCGAAATTGGTAGTATGTAAACATTGCAAAAGTGTAGTTGATTATAGACTTCGTTGCATGTGGTATAGGTAAATTTTAAGTTTGCATAATGGTCGCTGAAATATGACCCACAAATGACATACATAGAAATAGAATTTTTCGTGGTTAGACCAAAAATAATAAAACTTTAAGTAGGCATAATATCCAATTTGTCGTGTTAGTATGTTACAGATTATATTAGAGTAATAATATGAACTACCTATCTATAATTTTTTAACCAATCATTTATTTAACAATTTTTAAAATTGTATGAATAAGTAAATATAATAGATTTAATCTGAACATTTATGTACACATTATGCAGTATATACTTAATCTATTTGTTTGTTATGTTAATAGGCACAAAGGTTTTTTAAAAGATTGCCCAAATGGACTACTGACGGAACAAGTAAGTTTTTAAATTAATAATTATGCCAAATAGTAATTCTTTCCATTATTTTTTCTTAATTGTTAAATTACTCTTAATTTATACATAAAATCAAATTCTTATTTTTTATATTTTTTATTATTAAACAACAGACACAAATTTATTATTTCTTCTTAAAATCTATTACATTTCAAACAAAAAAGAAAATTTCCATTGTTTAAAATATGTTCAAAATATTCACTTATTTTAACAAAACAAAAAAAAATCATAAATTTTAGTTATTTAGACTGAATTAATTAAAGTTTTTTGGGCAATATAAAAAATTGTAATTTATAGTTGGACTATTGAAATGATATTAATTTTCAATTATAATTTATTCTTTATTTTAATAATTTATACTAATTTATACTAACAGTAAAATAAAATTAAAAAAGTGCTTATTATTTATACAAATATCTAATGTCTAGTTAACCAATGAAATGACTAAACCTGTTTTTACAGAAATTTCATAGGAAGGTAGGACTTCGCAAATAGTGATCTACCCAGTTAAAGATACTTTTTATCTCGGAATCCAACCCCTCTATTAGTATGTTGGCATACATGTGCAGTGTGCACTTTGTCAATAAAATACGAAAATAAAATTGTTTTGTTTATTTTTGGTTGCCGTTAGTTACACACAAGAACAAAAACACATGGTTATTATTATTTAATTTTATTATCACAGGAAAGAAAGTTTTCTTTTAAAAATATCATCGTGTTATTGTATAAAGTTTACAACCGGTTACAGTTAGATAGAATCCACCATTTAATTTGATATTTAGAAGTTTAAACAATTAAATTATTCCCAAATCAGAAGAACGACAAATGTAATATGTATGGCAAGATATTTAATATTTTAATATTAAGCTAATATTCTTGGAAGTTCATATTGTAAAATAATAAAATAGCAATAACAATAAAATTCATATTTTTATATTTATATTAAACAATTTCTATATGTGAAACATATTTTCATTTGAACTAAAAGTATGATTTCAATAATTTTTTTTTTTTTTTAATGTAAAATGAACAATAGTTTTTAGACTTAATTTTCACAAAAATATTATTTATTTTCAGGGATTTATAAAAATATACAGACAGTTTTTCCCGCAAGGTGATCCAACAAAATTTGCATCACTTGTATTCAGAGTGTTTGACGAAAATAAAGTAAGTTTATTATTATAAAATATAATATTGTAATCCTTTCATAACAAATAGAGGAAAATTTCTATAAATTTATAAAATATGCATTTTAATCACTATGAAAAATTATTTTTTTTTAAACTATAAATAAAATAATTTTATTGCAAAGCATTAAAACTTAAAAGGCAGTTAAATTTTTCTTAAGTTTATAGAGGTCCATTAAATTTTTTTTCTGGGGTCATATTATGAGCCAGACTCACACTGACTATGCATAAACAATATTTGTGATCTCTTTACAAACATTTTCATCAAAACTCTATTGAACCCTAAGCCTGAAACAATAGTAATACCTATTAAAACGAAATAATTTTAAATCATCTTTGATTCGACCACACATTTATAACACAACCACTTCATGGTGATCTATTCACATGTGAATAATATGGAATAGATAATCTTGTCGTTCATCAAGTACATATTAAATAAATGTTAAAAATCTGAAAAACTTTAAACACCACACATCACAACAATTAGTAGAGCACTAAAACGTCTTGATCTTTATATTATTTTTAAATTTTTTAAAGGAAACTGAATCATATAATTCAATTTAAATGAAATGTAAACTATAAACAATAAAATATATTATATTATTAGAACTATTGGCCTTAGATGCTGATATTATAAAAATCAATGATAATAATATCACTAAAAATCTTTATCTAGCTATACATATTTTTAAAAATGAATAAGTCAATTAACTGACAAAACCAAGTTCGAAATACATCAAACCCATCCTTTAATGAAGCTATAGTCATATATATCAAAGAAAATAATCTAATGCAAGGTTCTTATATTAATATTTTTTATAAATATATTTCACATAGATTTTATATCATGGTAAAAGTTATTAATAATAATCAGTTCTTCCTGGAATTACTTATTAGTTATTAATTTATTTTATTTATTATGTTAGCTAATATATAATGAACATTATAACCAATTTAAAACCAAACATAATACGTTATACAATATTCCATTATATACTAGAAAAGCCTGAAATTAAATCATTAATATATTTTGTTTGTAATTTTCATTCAAATTATTTTTATTCATAACGAACTATTAAAAGTAGTTTGTATAATTGAAATGTATTCAATAGAAAATTTCAAAAATACATAATTTGTAATTAATTTTTCTTTTGTGCTTAACATTGAATGGAAGTTAATTGAAGTTGAGTGAGTGTGTACATAATCTCTATCATTTAAATAGGTAGCCTCTTGTTAAAATATCATGCTTATGTTTTATTGTTTCCTCATATATCGTATTAATATAATAATTAATTATGTCATGTATTAAACAAAAATTACTTTACCCTACCCTACCGTATTACTATTACAATGATTAATAATAATCTTTACACATTAAATAATTTTTGAGTACGTATGTATGTCTATTATTGAATTCTTCCTAAACGGATAGGTCAATTTTGATAAAATTGTTTGTGTTTGAGTGGATCCTGAATGATTTAGATTCACAATTGAACCCAACCGATAGGTGGCGCTGAAATTAGGTTAAGAAATTATATATTATGGCATTGGGTCATTCTTAAAATAATAGATTTTTTTTATTACAATAGTTGTATAGTATTGGTTTTTAAAGAATTTAAAATAAAAAAAAAAAGCAATGTCACGTATTTATGGAAAAGGAAAAACTATTGGTTGACGTACACGGAATTCATAAATATCTAACCTAACCCGTTGGTTAAGAAAAAACAATAGAATATCGATTGATGGATAATGTAAATTTAAGAAACCGGGTTGCAAACACGTGCAAAAATGAAAGTCAAAAGTAACGTAACGAACTCTTTCAAGACAGTGATACATGCACAAGAGCGCCCATAAAAAAATTCTCAAAGGGAGGACAAAATTTTAATTTTATCCATGAGATAGGAAGGGGTTTAAAATTTAACATTATACTAATATATTTTATATATCAAACTGGAAGATTATGAAATAATAATAATTTAACCAATTAACCATAAAAATTATTTATTGAATTTTTATTTGATTAATAACATACATTTATTAAAATATTAATTTACAAATAAAAATTTAAAATTTCTTTTTTTAACATCAAATATATTTAATACTTGTTATATGTATTCATTCGTTTTATCATCAATTTTTTCCCTATGTACGCTTATCATACATAATCCATCAAGTCCATCTTCACTCATTGTAGATCTTGTGTAAACTATTTTTCAAAATTTTTCAGGGGGGACATGTCCCTTCCTTGTCTCCCACCATATGGGTGCCCTTGCGCATGCATAACTTCTCTGTCTTGCAATCGAATAGTATGTCGAGTTGGGCATTGACTATTTGTCACATTTTCAAATTATGATCGACGCTATTAACAAAGAATACCAAAATTACTATGCATTCAAATACAAAGTTGAATCGGTGAATATTCCAAGGAGTACATTAATTTGCGTGATGCTGTTTTCGGTAACGTAGAACAACTAATATCAATGACATCGGAATCGCATATATCTTTCCATCATAATTTATTGGTAGTTCGCGTCTTATTATGCAAGAATATATTCAAGACGCCACGTCTATCGTACACGCGTACCGAAAATCAGATTTGTTCATTACATTTATTTACAATACAAATTGGAATAAAATTAAAATTTCGTTAATGTCAGTTCAAGCAGCAATGCAACACCACAATATTATTGCACGTGTCTTCAAACAAAAATTAAAATCGATGACGAACTTAGTTACACATCACTCTGTATTCAATGAAACACCTTTCTGGGTATATTCTGTTGAATGGCAAACATGAGATTTGCTATACAAACATATTTTTAATTAGTTGATCAAAAGAGCACAACTAGACAAAATTGATAAAACTGTTTCAGCAGAAACTCCGGAAAGGAATATTGATCAAGAGTTGTTTGACATTATTGTTACTGCTAACATAATCCATGGTCTGTGCGGTGCTCTAAATATGATTGCGCTATACATAGACAATAGAAAATGTGTAAAACGTTTCACAAAAGAGTGTATAAATTATATTATACTATTATCGATGATTATTTATTGTGTATCGTCGTAGAGACACTGACAATGGTGTTCAATCATATCAATTGCGCATGTCAAACAGTGGAACGGTTGATGTTGACAATCACTGGGTAGTTCCAAATTTTCCATTGATATGCAAAACGTACAAAGCACACATAAACGTAGAATTCTGAAGTTTGGTAAAGTCTATGAAATAAATTTGCAAATACGTTTATAATGGCAGCGATATGGCTATAGTTTTAGTTCAAATTATAAATAACAACGATAAAATAACGCGTTGTCGAATGGGCTGACTCATTAGCAATATTGAAGCAGTTTGTCGCATTTTGAGTTTACCCATACGTGAAAAAGACTGCAATATATTTGGCTATAAATCTTGAAAATGGGCAGGATATTAATTTATCAAAGAGGCTGTTTTACAACGCAAGCGTTAATAGTCTCAAAAACTATACTAATTGCATTTTGAAATTATGTGATCGACCAGATATTTTCGGTAAACTTGCTAGGACATTAAAGTATAATGATGTTCCACAATTTTTCATGTAAAATAAACAGTCAAAAAACTAGGACCCACGAAAGGGGGCGTTCTGATCCGAGGACATTAAGGGTGTTAAGACATATTTATGGGAACTATATGAGGCCAGTTATACGTAATCTATTCAAAGCAGAAAAAGTTCTTCTTACGTTTGTTGTTAGCTGATGTTCCTGGATTGACGTCATTCCAATATTCACGAACAGACTCTGGTATTTTGTGCAATACGTACCATAATGTGTATCACAAAATTTATTTGTTGGACGATGATAACCATTAGGATCTCACATTTTCAGATGCAGTATTGAGTTCTTATCTTCATAAAGTTCACCAATTATTCACTTTAATGTTGAATATATTATGTTTTCTGTTTTTATCTTCTGTTTACTGGGACAAATATAAAAATTAAATGAGTGATGAGAGTCTGCATCACATTCGGTTCGTAGTTCAAAATCCTAATATTGATTTTTCACCGGAAATTATAACGAGACGTTAATAAAGATAAAGGATATTTGCAATCTCATTTTGAATATACCACTCATTTATTTTAATACGTCATAGCCAAACTGCCTAAATATAGATATCATTAACAGTGATGTTCAGTGCGAACAACAATTAGATGCAGCTTCTTTGATTACTTTTGTTGTAAATAATGAGAAACTGATTACTGCCGAACAAACAAAAAAAAAAAAAAAAACATATACGATTTAATTAATTTGTCAAGTGCAGTACAACAAAGCGGATTCGTTTTTTTGGACTCACCAGGTGACTCTGGCAATACATTTTTCATCTAATTTATTCACACATTTGTCTATAAAATAATATTATTGGCAATCGCTTCATCAGTTATTGCAGCAACTCTGTGTTTAATAGTGGATGACCTGAAAATTCAACACTTAAGTTGCCATTGAACGTTCATCCAAATTCAAATATAATGTACCACATAAAGAAACAACTTGGCGTGGCTAAAGATTTTTTAAAAATACTAAATTATTGTTTGAAATGAATGCACAATAGCCAACAAGTATTCACTCGGAATTCTCAATAGAACAATGAAAGATCTCAATGAATTATTGTCTGGTATTAACCAGATTTTCGGTGGCGTTCTACTGCTGTTGTCCGGTGTAATTAGACAGTCGTTACGCGACCTAACGCGCTACACGTGTGGACGGAATTAACGCATGTTTAAAAAATCATATCTTTGGCGAAATGTTAATATAATACCCCTTAATATGCATGTTCAACTGCAAAACGATCAATTGACACGGTCATTCTTCAAACAGTTGCTTAACATTGATAATCGAAAAATTTTAGTTTATGGAAATATACAATCCATCGAATTGCCAGGTAATTGTTGCAACATCATAGCCACGAAAGATTTTTTGATTGAAAACTTTTTCAGATATGCG